TATGTGTAGGTATACTTCTATCTATCTACCTAGAAAATTGTAAGACATTATTATGGATAGTAGGTATATAGTAGGTAACCTACATAGTACAAACTTCTTTATTTACTTTATAACTATTAACTTAACAACTTATAGTTGGTTAACCTGATATTATAATGACTTGACTGCGACAAGCGGTTTTTGTACAGTTTGAAAAAGACGCTCACAAAATTTAGTATGCCTATATACCTACATGCAACAGTGATAATAACAACACAATATTACTATGGCGAGTGTAATTAATTTAACGATGTGAGAAAAAATACTCGTTTCTATTTTAATAATAAGTAAAACAAACCATGATGATAATATATTGTTATAGTTCAACTGATTGTTATTACTATTATGTCTTATTGTATATAGGTGTGTAGTGTGTTACTGTGTTATAAGTTATAACTCTGTGTTATATTTATAAGTAAATATTTATAAGTTACAACACATAATAATAAAATATTAAATTACCCGCTTATTAATTTAGGGCTCGGATTTTTATGTTACAAAAAGTAAAAAAATGAAAATATTATATTATTATGTTATTTACACAAAAAAAGATAAGAACTTTTTTATTTACTGTTGAGCAATTGAAATAAGTACTTATAAAAAAAATGTTTGTTCAATATAATATTCATAAAATTTTAAGCCATATAACATAACATTTTAACCGATTTAGAAAAACTAACGAATGAATGAGAACAACTATAGTATTGGCTGGAGTAAATATTATATAGATTGTACAACTGATATGGCTATGTCAAAAATCGTTATCGAACCTATTTTATCTTATATTAACTCATTTATTACGACGTTCTCTGTTACGATTTACGAGTTACGAAGGACTGAACAAATTTCCCAGAGATTCTACAGAATAATGGTTATTTTCAATATGTCAGCGTATATAGGTAGGTAAATATAAAAGTATAGAATATTCAAAGGAAATATGTTCTTCTTAGTAGCATAATTAAGGATATGCATTTAAAATATGTGAAATATTAGTGTGGGAAAAATGAATACCTTCGTTCTATTCTGGATATTACATATACCAGGTGATCCATTTAAGATTTCACTTATAGTACTTCACAAAGTTTCAACTTTTTGAGAGTATTTTCTCGCATAATTTGACATCATTTCAAAACAACATTTCTGAATAAAAGTTATATTTTTACTATTTTTTATTTTAAGATTTGTACTTTTTTGAATGACACCGTACATTTTTAATTCAATGTTCCGGAGCAGGATATTATTTGGTGTATTTATAAATCTATAAAAATCAGATCAAGGACAAGTGGTTATGGCGGTATAGGCTATAGATACGCATTAGATACTATTAATTATATATTTAAAAAATATATAATATGATGTAAAATGCAAATAATATTTCCGCAGTTTGAAGATATTTGAATGTAAATTATTTATTGACCCTATGTTATTGTTATATATTTATATAAGATATATGCAATGAGCAGTGGCGTAGTTATGATTTTGTTCTGGGGGGGGGGGGGGGAGGCGCTAACTTGTTAAATAAAAGTCAAGTAGGGTCCCCGACAGTACCATAAGTCCCCCAATGGAGAGCAACTTAACGGTCTTAACGTAAATTACAAGTAACTTTAACGAAATTACCCTTTTAAGTGGTGGATAATTTTACTTCATTTTATTGTAAATTAATAATACGTAATTTAAGTTCCTTCTTTCAGTAAAATTACTAAATTACTCATTACTTAATTTCTGTAAATACACTTTAGGACACGATTAATCATATAGGTATGTAAATACAGTGAAACCTCCACTAACGGACACCTCCCAATAGCGGACACCTCCCAATAGCGGACATTATTTTATTAGGGAATTTTTAAAATAATGGTAAATCCCTAATCATTATTTGAAAATATAATCTGTAATATGCCTATCTGTAATACGTATTCACATTCGTATGCACTCTTGTAATAATGTAACATAGGTAATTACGATAACAAACTCGTTATGGGACGATACGATTATGACAAATTCGGTTATCGGTGAAGCAATTATGTCTTATGACAAAAGTATGTCAGTTAGTGACGGTTTTCGACGCGATGACTACGTTAAAACGAAAGCGGTTGTCGCTCCGCGAAAAAATTGACATTATAAAAATTATATAAAAATGTAATAACTTACAATAAATAATAAGTAAAAACATTACATATATGTATATTTACATACATAGTACATTATTATACAAATAAATTTCAAAAATGTATCCCCTCTGAATAACGGACACCTCCGAATAACGGACAAAATGTTNAAAAATGTATCCCCTCTGAATAACGGACACCTCCGAATAACGGACAAAATGTTGGTGACCAAGAGTGTCCGCTATTCAGAGGTTTCACTGTATATCATAAAAACACTTTTTTCTGACAATAACATTTTAATTTTTGCAATAGCTATATTTGACAGGTATTCAATAAGTAATTTTGAATAAGTAATTTGAAATATAAATTTAAAAAATAAAAAATAAAACGCATGAAGTTACTTTTTTTTAACTCCAAAGTAATGCAATTTTCGATTAAATAAAAAAAAAAGCGAGTAAGTGGATGTCGCTCTGCTGTACAGTAGGTTACAAGTGGGTCACTGTATAATGGATAAAATTAAATTTGAATTCAATGATACAATATCATTGTATAAGAAAAACGATTCTGAGTGGAGACGGTATGTCAGTCTTGGCTTAAGACATATTAATACCAATATATCTGAGTCAAAATTCGAATTTTAAATGCTTATAAAAAAAATTGTGCCTATGTATTTTAAATATTTTACAATTGCTATTGTAAAAATATATCAGGAGCCTCGCATTACATTTTCAAGCTTTTTCGCCCAACAAATAACATTTTATTGGTATTTATAGAAAAAAAAACTAAGAAAATTGAAAATTGATAATGTTCGTAAACATCTCAAAAAGAGTCAAATTATTTTCAAAATTTTATCGTGTTTAGAAAATGATAATATCAACATTCAGTGAAATTTTCAAGTATCTACAGACATTCGTTTTTTAATTACAACAAAAACAGAAAATTGTTACATGAGAAATCGAGTGAATATCAAATGTTGTAAAAATATGAATTTCAAAAGCTCATAAAAATTTAATTTGACTTTCTTCTAAAAATTTTTTTTTTGATAAAGGTAGACAAACTTATGAGGAATCTTGTATTAAATTTTAAAATCTTAGATTTAAAAACAAAATTTCTTATGAATTTCTAACTTAAAACAATTTCCAAATTTTCGTCGTTTTTTGTCAATATTTGAACTTTAAATGCTTATAAAAAAAACTGTGACTAAGGATTTTTAATTTTTTTCATCTGCCTTAGAAACAATATACTAGGAGCCTTGTATTAAATTTTCAAGTTTTTTTAACCAACAAATAAAATTTTATTGATATTTATAGAAAAAAAAACCAATAAAATTGAAAACTGACAATGTCCGTAAACAGTTCAAAAAGAGTCAAATTTTTTTCAAAATTTTACCGTATATAGAAAATGTAAATACAAACAACCTGTGAAAATTTCATATATCTACGATCATTTGTTTTAGAGTTACACCAAAAACCAAAATCGATTTTGCGTAAAAATTCCCGTTTTTCCTTAATTTTTCTTTTGTTTTTCACGTCGCTTTTGAAAACTACTGGGAAATTTTTACTTTTGTAAAGTACCAACCCAATGTACCAACTAGATTCACTTTCCAATCAGAAAAGTTGCTATTAAAGAAAATCAAAGCAGATTTACTGACCTAAAAGGTGATGACAGACACAAAAAAAAATAAAAAAATAAATAAAAAAACACACATCATTGTAAAATCAATACATTCATCGTTCCACTCAGAATCTAAAATATAAGTAAGTACAATTTTTTAAAGGACGTAATATTTGTAATGCTATTTAATTAGATGGGTACCAAAAAAAGGTATTAATTCTCCAACTCTATACAAAATAATAAAACATGGTAATGAGTTCTATAATATATATTATAATATATATGAATAATGGATTATAATAATATATGTGATTCACTGGACATAAAAAAGAGATAATAATGTTTTATGAAATTATAATAAAGCCAATAGGAAATTACTATTTTGTTTTTAATGAGTGTGAAAAATAAACTAATAATAATAAACTACATAGGTATTGTATACTAATAATAATAGGCTAGCCCATATCATTATCCAATATGTCAGCATTATTTATTATAATATACGTTCTTCCATATTTACAACTTGCATGACGTAGTACCCACATCTCAGACACGGTGTTATTATTATGATAAAATGATAAATCATATTGTTAATACTTATAATAATATACAAAACTGATAGATATCGTACTATAATTTATAACACTAACAATGATAGTAATAACTAGGTAATAGTTAACTAATTAATTACCCAACTATTAATAATTAACTTCAATAAACTTATCAAGTATCAACCGCCAGCACATCAATAATAATTATAATATCTAATAATTCATTTTTTTTTCGACGAGGTCTTTGTGAAGTGCATAATATGTTGCCTTAGAGCTGGCCCTGGCTAAAATATTTTGATAAAGGCAATACTAGTTTATGTATCAAAAAAAATATTTTGGATTAAAAATTTAGGAATCAATTTTGAATATAATATAATTCTCTTCGAATATATATTTATAAGTTATGTATAATGACCGTCGCTTTTTAAATGACAACCTCTACCACAGTAGTACAGTACTAAAGGCAGAGCTTCTGCTATTTATAGTCACTCCTATGAGTACCAGAGTACTTACAGTATTAATAAGGACAAAACGTTATTGCGAGCGAAATGTAATAGGCAAAACAATTTTTATAAAATACATTTTCAAAATGCTTAATTTATTATTACATTATAGGTACTTCGTATACATATTGGTTATACATTTATATATAATGACATATTTTATTGATTTATGTTATGCGCAGGGGCGTATTTAGGTAGGGGCTATGGGTCCCGTTGCCCAGAGCGGCAAATTTTTAAAGATTTAGAGGGGCGGCAAATTTTTATTTCGTACTTCATAGTTTACACGCTGATTTCAATTAATTAATATTTTTTCAGTAAATATTTACACATCCCCCTCCCTGCTCACATCATATTATTTTTATAATATCAGTACAACTTGCCTATTTACAGTTTCACCATGGCGCGGGGTCACCGCCCACCAGTGACCAATTGATTCATAATAATATTGTTACGGCGATAAATATTAAAAATAGATGTTAATAATAATAACCCAATATGACATTATAGGATTATACCGATTAAAATAGACGTCTAGAGCTCTAGACCATGTAGGCATATCAGTATCTCACGCACACAACGATAGTTACTATTTTACTAACAGCGAACTTATTAATATCAAGCTATTAATATTATTGTTGTCTGTTATCGAGTACCGACACAACTGAGAGCTGTAAACAATAAACAGTGTAAACCGGATTGCCTCGAATAGTCGAATCTCGGAGTGCCTTTGGTAGTTTGGTCTCATATAGATCGTATACGGTATACCTATTGTAGGCAATTTATTACCCACTAAAAAAATTTCGTTAAAGTCATGGGTCCTATCCGATCAAGACTTAGCGGATCAGGATATAAGAGGAAGGCCGCAGTAAAGGCTGAAAAGTATGCTTCTGTCATAAAAAAAACAGCCAAAATAAATACATTTTTTTCGCAAAGTGCGCAATCCAACGCTATCACAGGTTAGTACTTAGTACTTAGTACTTATTATATATTTACTACCTAGGTACTTAGTATTTAGTACTTTGTAAAAACTAGTAACTAATATAGTAATATCTATAAAAAATTTTAATAGCAAACACGCTGCCAAATATTTTTAATTCATTTTTAATTTTGTTCTTCTAATATTCTTGCATGCAACTATGCAATTATGTAACACATTAATGTATTCATTTTAAAAAGATCCACTTAAAAAAAAAAAAAAAAATGATTTTAGTCTATTCAAACAGCTAAATGAACATTAATAATAAATTATACTTATTATTAGGGCCCGAATTTAAATGCACTTAAAACCATACAAATATGCTCTAAAAAATAGCCAAAAATGCATTTTACCTCAAAAATTACCTTAAAAATGACATAGTCTTTTTTTTAAACAAATTGTAATTTATAAATGAGATATAATTATTATTTATTTAAAAGAAAATTAAAATATTGACTAGGTACGATGTTGACACGCATACCTATGTTTTGGATGTTTTGAGGAAATATTATTCATCCTAAACATACCAAAATATATATTAAAATTTATGTAAAATATTAACATGAAGAAAATAATTTATCTTTAGATAATATTTTGAATAGGCTGAATTTTATATCTATATTGAACAAATATGCATTAAAAACCAACAAAATAACCCAATAATGCTAAAAATGAAAAAACGTCGAAATATGCAAAAAAAATGCAAAATAAAATTTGTAGCTTTCAAACCCTCGTTACATGAAACAAATTATGTACTTAGAAAGCATTGTGTATGTTTTCAACAAAAAAAATATGAACTTTGCATTGAAACCCAGGCCCTACTTATTATCTATATTTTATTGGTACACTGAATATTTTAGTTAAAATATTGCTAAATATTGCAAAATACCTATATTATATAATTATATATTAGTCATGTAAAGTATTTGAAAAAATGTATTTAAATACTTTTATAGTATTTAGTATACATTTTAAGTGCTTTTTTGAATTATATATTTTAAATACAGTCTTGGACATATTATGAATTTGTATTTGAAAATCAAATAAGTATTCTTATGCAAATTCTTTAAAAAAATCATACAAATGATTTGTCTGTTGTCACAAATTTATTTTAAAAGATTTTCTATTTTATTTATATTATTTGTTTCATTCATAAGCCATAACTGGTACAAAAATACCTCCCTTGTTGAATGTAACATTGCAATTTTAAATTAATAAATATAACATTTATATTGGCCAACCAACTAATAAAAAGTAAAATTTAATTGAAAAGTACTTTTTTAAATACATATAAATACAATCATCATTACAAGTTATTATTTATTCACATAATAAATTATAATTATACTTAAGTTAACCTATGGTCTAAATATTCTGTAAATTAAAATACTACTAAATATAAATATAACTAGGTATGTAACTATTTACTATACCTATATAATTTAACAATATGAATATTATTTTTTTTCAGATTATAAAAGAAATACAATTATTGTAACTAATAATATTGATAATGTGCCTAATGTGGATTTAAATGAAAAACATTACTCTGTTGATTTGAATGAAAGAAATAACATTATTGAAACTAGTGAAATTGATACTGTTAATTTTAATGAAAAGTGTTGCTCTGTTGATTCTGTTGATTTGAAAGACAATCATGTTGACAATATTACCAGAAATTTGATATCACCCAGGTAGTTACTAGTTATTCTCTCTTTATATATTTTTTAAACTGAATACTTTTATCGTTATAACTTATAATTAATTTAAATAATATGTTTTTTTAAGTAATGATCCGGCATACTGGTGTGTTGATGATACAACAAGAAATTACATATCAGTCAATGGAATATCTCAAAATATTGAAACTATTAACTTCACCAAGTCAAAAAGAACAAGTAAAAATGTTATCCGTGGAGTTCTTAAAGTACATTCACGATATTGCTCATCAAAATTATTTTATATGGTCCTTCTTAATGGTGAAAAAGTTAAGAGAAATTACTTAGTGTACTCTGAAAGTACTGGGTCATTATTCTGTGCTCCATGTAAATTATTTGGTTCGACATCTATGTTTTCAACTGTAGGATTTAGTGATTGGAAGCATGCAGAGAAAAGAATTACTTCACATGAAAATTCTCAAACTCACAAAACTAATGTCTTAACTATGAAAGATAGAGGAAAAGTAGTTCAAAGAATTGATAGTGCTTTAATATCACAAATAGAAAAGGAAAAAAACTACTGGAAAAATGTATTAAGGAGAGTTGTTGCTGTAGTCAAGACACTGTCATCTAGAGGATTAGCATTTAGAGGCAAAACTGATAAATTTGGTTGTAATCAAAATGGTAATTTTTTAATGTCCTTGGAGCTAATTGCCTTATTTGACCCTTTTCTAGCTTCACATATAGAAAAATTTGGCAACAAAGGAAAAGGCTTTACATCCTATTTATCATTTAATATTTTTGAACAGTTCATAACTGTAATGGCTGATCAGGTTCTTGCAGTTATAGTTGAAGAAATTCAAAAAGCAAAATACTTCTCAATAATAGTGGATTCAACGCCAGACGTATCGCATGTTGATCAGCTATCATTCGTGGTGCGGTATGTTAAAAATAACGGAACACCTATTGAACGGTTTATGTGATTTTTGCCTAATAGTGGACATAAATCTGAAGAACTTACTGATGAAGTTATGACTACATTATCTCTTTATGATCTGGATCCAGCATTTTTACGTGCACAATCTTATGATAATGCAAGTAATATGGCTGGGGCATATAGTGGCTTACAAGCCAGAATTAAAGAAATAAATCCATTAGCCAATTTTGTCCCCTGTGCTGCTCATTCCTTGAATTTAGTTGGGACATGTGCAGCCAGTGCCTGTCGTGAAGCTTGCGAATTTTTTGATATTATTCAAAATATATACAACTTTTTTACAGCTTCCACGCATAGATGGTCTGAATTAAAAGGAACCGTAAAATGTCTTTCAGCAACCCGTTGGTCAGCCCGTGATGATGCTTGTCATTCCTTATCCAAAAATTGGAATAATATAGTACATGCTCTACAGAAAATTTCAAATAATAGAAATGAAAAGCCTTCAACAAAATGTGAAGCTGTTGGCTTACTTAAGAAACTCAACCGCCTTGAAACAGTATTTATGACAATTTTTTGGACAAACATTTTAGACCGTGTAAATAAAACTAGTAA